ATTTCTCAAAGTTTTTTTTATTATTGTGTACTTTTATAGTATCTAAAACGTTACCCATTGATCAGTTGCCTCTTAGCTTATTGATTTCTGGCTGTATGTACAGTTATAGTAAATTAGTATTTTGTTTGGAAGTCAAAATTATACTTTGTTTACATTTTGCTACTTTTTGGAAATTATTAACACTCCAGGTTACAAGCATTCTCTAAAACTTTTATTTTAACATCAGGAAAAATTCATGTTTGCTCTTTCTTCAGCGGTGATCTCTGTTTTTCATGTGTTAAAACTTTCCTTTTTATTCTTAGCCAATCGACATCCTGCAGAAAGGATCGTTTTGAGTTTATTAATTGTATCTGATTTTCGCCAACTGAAAGAGTATTCATGTACCAGTTATCACACTATTATCACATTATCATCACTTTTTTTTTCATTATCATCGTAGTCATGGTCATAGTCGTAGTTGATATTATCTTCGTTGTGTTATCGTCGACGTCCACTCCCTCCTTCCCCACCTCTTCGACTTCACCATCATCATTGCATTATATTGTTAATCTAGAGTAATTATTTAAATTCAGAACGTATGGGTACTTTCTTGTGCAGCAAAGTCTATTTTGAGAACGCTTTATAACTTCATTAACATTTTTATTAAAAATTGTAGAAATAACACTGTCCTATATTAGTCATAAAACAAACATTACGTTTTATTAATGCACGAAAAAGTGGTTTCTTAAGTAAGCTAAGTCGTCCTAAAATAACTCTTAAGGCAGGTGCGATTTCTATATTGTAGATACGGTCATGATATGAGACATAAAAAGAAGTTACTAGTAAATATTGCTTCGTAGAGAACGTAAAAACTAACGTTTATTCACTAAAATATCTTTTAAGAAATAAAAGAGGAACGGAGGAAGGAAGTTTATTTTTAACTGAAGTAAAACCAGATTTTTATTCCTTCTTTTAAAGAAATATGTGTTTACTTGGATGACTTTTAGACAAGTCAATTGAAGGAGTCTTTCCTTTTAAAATGCAGCAAAAGGAATTTTTTAGCATTTCCACTCACGGATATCAAAACAAAGCTAAAGGTTGCTATCTTAAAATAATACAACAGATCAGAAGTAAATATCTCAAATTTGTTACAATATTTTTATAACATTTGAAACATTTTCATATTTATATTCGTCTTAAAACGGAAACTTTTTAAGATTCTCTTTTGGGCGTTGTAAATATAATGCTCGAAGTATAACCTAATCCTGTCTGAAACATAACGCTATAAATTCTCCGCCTGTTGATATCGCAATAAAACAAATATCATATTAGAAGAATAAATCTTCAATATATTTATACCATGTCTTATTTATGACCGTTTTTATTTCACGAACGGTATAAAAGAAGTGTAATCGTACAGTTTTGGCTTGGAATAAAAATATCTTTCGTTATTAGTTAAAAAGTTTTTTTGACAGTTTATATGACCATATTTAAACGGTTGTTTTAAAATATATCCCGAGCCGCTAGGCGAGTACAATTATTATTGACGAGTGTTGCTTCAAAATAAATCGTGCTGTTGCTTCTTTTAATATTAATGTTGTTTTCAACAAATAGATAAACAATGTATTGGTGTTGTACATAATACTTATCTAAATTTACAATATAATATATATATATTGATCCCTTTTAATATCAAAGTAACAAACTCTCACTGAAATATATTATTTGCATAAAAACACAACAATTTATATATTTATGGAGGTTAACCCTTTACCTCATGAGCATATTGTGAAAAATGGCCGTTTTCATTGAGAAGCCTCCTGTTACAAGTTCAAACAGCTATGAACTATCAAAAAATCTTCAATACTGATGAATCTTTGCACAAATGTTGACTGGAATTTTACATTTGTAGCAGCATGCTCAATCTTTAATTTCCTGTAACATTGGCAATGGGGGAAGGGCGTCTCAAAATTGCCAAACATCACTATTTTGCATTGTTTTTTTCTCCATCAAAACTGATTTCAAAGTGCTGCAACATCTCAATGGATTGAGATAGAGTAAAATGTTTTTTTAGCGTTGGTTACACGTTACCTTACGATCGACCTGAGGCCATTTTTAGCATGTCACATGTCCTAAATTTTCTTGGCGTTAAGGGGGTTACCGCCCCCTTCGAACCCGAAACAGAAGGGGGCACATCTACCTTCTGGCAACCCTCTTATAGTTAACCATCTTATTCAACGATTACCTATATGTTTCCATTTTTTATCTTTTCAATTTGTTATGAATGAAAACATTAGAAAATTTATTTCTTTGAATAATTTAATAGAAAGGGAATTCATTGTACACTTATTCAATGTCATTTGCTTATTAAGATAATATAAACATATGCGTTTTTGTTGTAAATACCAAAAGAGTCGATTCTAAGTAGAATTTAAAGCCAAAAAGAAAATAAAGCCTCTTTGTAACTAAATTATGACACAACAATTATTTTGGCACTGCTGTTTATATGAGTGGATCAATGGACAAATGACACTTGAAAAATAATAACAAAATGACAACATTATTTAGAAGAAGAACGCCACAGACATTCAAAAGCATAAAAACATAAAATTTGAATTGTTAACTTATATCAAGTGGGCACTTATACTGAAAGATATGCATACGAAAATTAAGGAATATATTAAACATATATGCATAATCAAATGTGTCTGCTATCTGTCGACAAATTATGATTGAAAAGGCGTTGTAACAGTGATCTGAAATTTTGCACAATAACTTTTGGTTAGGACGTGCATTAAATGGCTTATAAATCTCGGAAACAATATTTCCGGTCCGGTCTTGTTAAGAAAACAACTACTCAGGTCTGAAGCACGCAATCTAAATTGATTCTTACTGACATTAACGTTATTATTGTCTAACCTTTTGGTTTAGTTTATTCTAAAATTATATTCTAAGCAAAAATACATTGAATAATCAAAAGCAGTGTGTAAGGATAACCGTCTTCATAGAATGTCAATGCTCACCTTATCTGTAGCACGCAATTTAAATTTATTCTTACTGAATTTTACGTTATCATTGTCTAACTTTTTGATTAAATTGTTTAAGAATTATATTCTGAGAAAAATACTTTGAATTATGAAATAAATGTTTGAAGTGAAGAAGGGCAACCATCTCGAAAGCCTCTATATAATACGTTGTAAAGATTGATTCAAGCTAATTGTAAATCGTCATAATTATCAGTCGAAAACACTGTACAATTCGTTTTTGCCTTTAAATGTTAAATTAAGAAAGAGATTTCGTTGCACAATCCATTAAACCTTAAAGGTTGCTCTAACATGTTTAACTGTTGTGTTTTCGTGATTGATATTTACATTTGCCTGTTAAAATACAAAGAATGTAATACTTGATATTGTCAAAGATTTATCTTTTTTACAACAGTTTAGCATTTTCTCTATTTACAAACCATTATCTGCAATATTATAAGATAACTCGACATTTACATTAAGGATTTACATTAAGGATTATGTCAATAAAAAATAAAAAAGTACTTTGACATAACAAATTGGAATTACTTTAAGATAGTTTGATAAGATTAACATCGAAATAAATAGCATGTTTCATAACTGTATAACAATAGACCATTTTCTTACAATATTATTTCTTATATATTGTATTTTGGTGTGGTCTTTTCCATTGTGTGTTTTAATTCCTAGCTGGTATGTGACGCACAAACCCATAGTGATACCAAAACTAAGATTTGTTTTGTTTCACTTAATTTCGTCCCTTTCAATAGTACGTCGGGATAATGTTTAAATTGCCCAGATCATGCCGTTTATTTCATTCACACAACCTTTGGTCATTTGAACATATGGTGATCAAATACATGACGCATTAATTCACATACATGTTTACATAAGTCTTGATCTTATGTGTTTAAATCATTTATTATATATTTCTAATACGGAGTTTATTGTATGATTTCTTGTTTTTTTGTGATTTTTAAATTCTGTAAAACTTTACTCTCTTAGCTGCAAAGTATGAGGGTCAAACAACAGCTACCGGTACAGACCGGAATATCTAGCTAAAGGGTAACTGTCCACGGTGGTAAAGAGGCTCTGCCGAGTTTCCACTAACATTCACCCGAAAGCTAGATATTCCAGTCTGTTCGACAGCTGTTTTTTATTCTTTTTCTTGCATATTACATATATATCATATTTCGGATAGAAATAAATTACGAAAACTAAATAATTGTTGAATTTCGTATAAATTTTAACTTCATTCAAAGGAACAATGATGTCATTTTAAGACTGCATTAATTTATAAAATGCTCGCAGGAATGACGCCGTTTAAAACACGCGACTTGTCTTACACGAGGAGTTTCGAGTACCAGTGTAAACGGTCGAGTCTGTTCATGGACAGTTCTCGTGGCACGTGAAAGTCGAGAAATGCAGAAATCACATAGTACCGTGTACAAAGTGTACAGGATGTAATGAGAATGGCGAGAGGGTTCGTAGTTCCACATGCTGAGAAATTTAGGTGGTTACGTGGACCTTGTGCCACGTAAACAACGAGTATTGTAGGTGGTCACAAAGTATCTCCTGTACATTACACACGGTCGCATTTCTTCTCTGTTATCATAAAATAGCCATGGATTTTTGGCTAGATTTTACCCAAGTATAGAACATAGAAATAACTTACAACTACCATGTATTGAAATTTAATTAGTCGATTAGTTTCTCGATGTCCCTTCAATTTCAACTTACAGAATCTATACTGTCAAATCAAATACGACCTTGCGACTATAAATGATGTTTAAAAACTGTTTTAATAAGTAAATGTCTTGAGTAATTTACTTGACGTAGATAGAAAGGGTCCTTGCAAAGTATATCACCATAACACTATGTTTTAAAAATGTGAAACAATAAAATCCATTAATGGAGTATATCTCTTGCAGAAGCATTTTCACCAAACAATAAACGGAGACACCAAAAAGGATATTTAATCAAAGAGTGAAAACAATAAAGATTATAGTGTTATATTCAAATTATTGTCGTCATAATAGTGCTAATTGGTAAAAAAGGTAATACGCCAGAGAAGTGAAAAATGTGCACATCTATTATTGCCCCTGACAAGTTGTTTAATTATCGTAAAGGGACATTTTCTTCTTCTCCATTTTTTTACTTGTAAGACGACGAATTTGATTCCTTCGAAATTGATTCGCTCGCAGAAGATGATCTTTTGGATTTTGATTCACCAATATTGGCGGAATTTAAGTTTTCTTGTTCTGCTTCGTCATGTTTTTTGTCTGACTCTGAAGAATCTCCTATCGCGGTTTCACTGTCATCATCACTGTCAGTGGTCGTTTCCCCAGCAGTGTTAGTTTGAGCCTCAGCTTTATATATGCTTGCACAATTACTATCTAAAAGCAAATAAAACATGCGTTTGCATAGGTTATTGTTCATTAGTAAACATTTACAAAAATTAAATTGGTCAAGAGAGACGCAGCCATTCAATCGGGACAACATGAAATAATGAAAACGTCTGAGAGTGGCATTTGTGGGATCCACAGGCGAAATTAAGATAAATCGTCGCATTTACACCAACAGTACGCCAAATATGGGCTGACTAATCGTCAATCTTTGTTACATGAAAAATTATGTACATGTATCCGTGCCGTTATTCTTTCGATATGTGTGTGGTTGCGGTTAAAACATGACAAACAAGATCAACAAGGAAAGGCGGCGTTCAATGAACGTCACTGACACGAAATCACGAAAAACAAAACGAAAAAAGAACTCGACAAACGAAACAAATATATATTTCTTGTTCTGTTCTTCTTTTGCAGAATGGCAGAAATGAGTCACTTAATATTTGTAGATTTATAATTCATCATCAATTGGCAAACATATGTTGGACTATTTATAACTCTAGATCGATCATGCAGTAAATCCGGGGATTTTTATGACAATAAGACAATGCTCCGTGGTAAAACTTGTCAGTTTTGTCAAAATGATTTCTTGAGTAAGAAAACATTTTTGTTACATTTTGATATAAAAGTTAGCGAAAGTGAATGACACATACGTACTAAATCAATCACAAAACTGCTAGAACACACACCAAGAGGACAAAAATTTATCCACCATTTTGAAAAACGGTTAGAGCAGCTTTAAATTTGTTATTCACATTTATACAAAGGTTGTGTACGATAAATATTTTAACTTTGAACCTTAGAATATTACACAAGTTATCATTACTAAATAAATGTGTATTTTTTACATGAATTTAGTACTTTTTCAACCAAGCAAGGATTTTTCAAAACGCCAAACGAAAGATGTAAAAATAGTTTTCAAGCTAAAAACATACAAATGGCATTAACAAATAAAAACAAATACCGTCATGTTGTCTTTGTCCTTTTATACTGAAAGATAAAACAATATTATCTCACCAAATGTATTATTCTATTATTTCATTTACATTGTACATGCTTTTCAGCCGATTGCGTAGAAGATATTTACAATATGTTCCAGTGAAAGTTATAGACATATTTTATTCAATGAGCACTGAATGCAATAAATATGAAAACACGCGTTTCACGAATTTGATCTTACATGTAAAACAATTTATTTAGTATATCAATTCAATAAATTAAATGTTATGCGTTCTATTGTCATTCTTATAAAAATTCCATTGCATTTTAACATTAGTTTAACATCTGCGGGTTTTCTGAAGTCACAATTTCACCATAACCATGATTAAATATTGAATCCTGCATAAGCCTGTGGCAGGGGGCGATGACGGATACTTGCACTTAACTGTACCGCCCTTGAACAGGCTCAAACAAACCGAGCTTATCATTTATAATTTTGTCGTTTTGTGCGTTCGTAGGGATTTCGTGTTTTTTTTCTATTTTTCACAGATGATGGCTTGTTTGCAATTATTATCCACTCATTCATTTTTATTTTTTCCTACTTAATATGCTTCCAGGTAAACTATGCAACTTGAGCATCAAAATGAAGTTCTTCTATTCATGGCCATGATTACATTGTAAGTTCTTTTTAGATTTCATCCGTATATTTTGATATTTAAATGATATTAAAGTTGTTTCTATGTATATGTGTTAATGTAAATATGCTGTTTAACAAAACACTAAAAATCAGAATGATTTCAATGTAATTATATGTTGAAGGAATAATATTAATTGTTGTGCATTTTGATATACTTATATTAGTCCAGTGCTATGCGAATGAAAAATAATGAACAGTTCTTACCTTAAGAGAAAGACGAATGTAAATATGTAAATATATGTAAAAGTAGCCATTTTTTTCTGAAATTTCAGTTTACAACCGTTGCTTCCAATGTTCACAATGAAATACAACCATACGGTTGTATAGATATATTGTTGACAGAATAATGGAAACAGCTGTTTATCATGTCATAATGATGACGACATCCATGTAAAACAAAAAAGAAAATATTAATTGAAAAACGTGTATGAAAATACAATAAGTAAACATCTTTCCAATAAATATGGTTCATTTTTATAGAGTTACTGAAAATATCGATGTGGGACTGAATAAGACACAGATTTGCTTAAAATAAAGTCATAGCCTTTTTCATCAACATATATTAATGCACCGAATATATATTTATCTGTATTCAATTGAATTTCCATTATTCTTATATTATTTAATTATGTAATATTGCACAAGAATGAAATAGAACATGCTTTCTTTTTTTTACACCGATTTTAACTCATGCATTTGGTGATATCCCAGCGGTCTTTTCACCAAACAGGCTTAAAGGGATAAACTGTTGCGGCAATTGGTATGCCTCAGCCCTTAAAGACAATCCCTTAGCCACAAGGAGTATCGGTGTGACAAAACCCGACAAGAAAGTTAGATTAATATTATAAATCCTAGCTTTCAACAAAAGGTGGTTGAACAACATATTATTTAAGTATATCAAAATAATTCCTTCGGTTTTTTTTTGCGTTTTGATATCGGCTTGAAAAAGGAAAATTATTTTCTTGATTAACATTTTTTTTTCATGTAGCTTATCCAAAATGAGAAATCAATTGTATTTGAAATATCTAATGCTATAAATACGGCATCTGAAAGTGTCCAAAGGATATCTAGTTTTACCCAAATGACAACATATTACAACGAAAAGTAATAAAAGTAATCATGTCTTTCTGGTATATGATTATAGGAATTCAATCTTGCAGTTTCTTGGAGATAAATTCTGTCCTTATATTTGTGTTAGTATAGATCAGTATCGACAGTCTCAACTGTTTAATAATACAGAAACAGCTGTTTGCAGACAACTTAAGATATTATCAGCTAAAATAAACATTACCTAATCACCAAAATAACAAATCCTTTGTTTAAACCACGTCTCTATATTGTTTTTAGAAAATAACATGGATTATGTAATATGTACTATCTTGGGCATTGGATAGACAGATAAACAATAACAGAATTGCGTGTTGATGTTGTCTTTTTTGTCATTTGTTGTTGTTGTTCTTAAATATTTTTGATTATGATAATTATGTGTTATAATGTAAGTATGACCTTAATATTTCAATTGCATTTCGTCAATTCAAAGCTATGAAATGTAAGTGTAAACTACAGATAAATCCTTCGGCGTGAATTTTAGGTCTGTAAGACCACATTCTTTATTAACGTCATGTCAGTAAAACCTGTATCTAATTGTTTGACGGCAAAGAGTTCACAAGTGAAGACTAGAATCATGAAACTCTTTTTCTCATAAAGCCTTAATTAATCTTTTAAAGTGAATTAATTTTCGTCATAAACTGCATTTATGATCAGACGAGGCTTAAAAAAGAATGTTTTGCTATATTTGTTATACTGACTTTTAAGTTAGTTTGTTTTTACATATAAAGGAATTTAAAGTCCCTAAAGTCAATGCATGAAGTTTCCTAGTTCGCGTGTCAAACAAATGAACGATATTAAAACTCTACTATATTTTAGTCAAAAGCACTATAAAAGACAAAGAAACAAACAAAGAAATAATTATAAATTTGTATTCCATTTAATCTACCCTACGTCAACTAATTCATATAAATTGCATAAACAAAATTTCTATAAAAAAATCTTTATTTGCAGCAAAACATGTGCAAGCGACGTTTCAGGATAGCTACACCTACAGGCCTAGCAATCTTGAGACATATGAATTGCTTCCAATTGCACAAGCTTCAGTTTGTACAAATTTAACGTTTTATTAAATAAAATGTTTAACAAGTCAAAGAATTTAGTTAATATACAATGTTGATACAGAATGGAGAATAAAAGTCACTATCACACAGTTATTGGGCGTTTGAATGATCCGCTTTAATTAACAGTAACTTAAAACAACCCTAATTAGCATCATTATTATTGACATATTAAAGCATCACAAGACCGGTCAATATATATAACTTATTAACTTCTTTCTTTCAATTGGACTTTTTAAACAAAAAAGAGGTTATCTGCCGGAAGCACTTATTCTATTGCAGATAAAAATCATCAACAGTAGAGCCGTTTATCACAAAAAGAGGAAGCAAGCGGAACTGGTTAAGGAGGTATTATCGATTAATATTGCATTGGAAAATGTAGTGGGAGAATTTGGGAGTTGTCAAGAAATGATTGTTGGATTGAACAAAAAATGGATTAACGTTAAAATAGTTCGTTCCCAGTGCAAAAAACCTAGAAACAAATAGGAACAATCATTTGAAAAATTAAAACGATTTAATTCTTTTATCAAGCTTCATTGACCCCGTCCTTCCGTGTTGATCTTGGTTTTTTATATTTTATTTTAAGATCGTTCATAATTAAACTATTATATATTTAATTTATTACTAAGGAAACAATGAATAGGTTGTTAAGAAATATCCTTCAAAATGCAGCATTATCACTTGTATTATAGTTTGTGGGTCTTTCTTACTAGACTAGTGAATCATGTGTCAAAGTTAAATCGTATGCACATACATGGACACTACGGTGCAGTAATTAGTTACCCGAACCCAATTACCACACTGTCTGTCGGGAATAAAAATAGAACATGCTCATTGTTTAGTTTATCTTACTGGGTTAAACTTATTAGGACGACAGATCAACGGAAAACGATAAAAATGTCATATTTATATGCTTGTTCATTGGTTATTTCTTTCTGGGGTTTCATATTGTGATGCTCCCTCGTACATCGTGCTTCGATTCTTTTTCTATTACCTAGTACATCACAGATATGATTTGCTACTAACGTATTTTAGTACACTTTAACTACAAAATGTCAATCTATAATCATGTTACCGTAAAGAATGGGGTTGTCTATGCTAAATCTGTTTCTCAAATTCAGGCGCATTTGAAAAAAGTAGGACTTAAAGTCAAATAATACTATTATTATTTTGAACATACTAGCTAAAATATTATCAATTAACATTCAGCGTTTACACCACGTGATGTTCAAATATTTATAATTTGATCCACATCTTATCAATCAAACCTTATTATCATTTCCGGAATCCAATACGTCTATGTATATCATAGCAAACGCATATTGTACCCCATACAACCTCGTCTTCATGTGTAAAACTCCAACAATCTAAATCAAACCTTTATCGTACTGTCATGATGTTAAAAACTAATGGTGTGAAATAAAGAGGATGTTATACATTGCTTAGTACAATATTGTTTCTGTTGTACTAGTACACAGCTGCAAACCTATATCAGACTCGGCTAGCGCCTGGACCAATATAGTGTTGACAGCTGTGTTCTCCTGCTGTGTAATTCAGTACTGTACTCAACAATATATTTGTACATGTATACACTTACTGTCTTGTAACCACCCTTGTCCCATCTATATGGTTGGTAAGCTTGTTTATGCAGTAGTTATTTGGTGGGCTGCATGTCTGCGGCGCAAATAATTTTTCACATAGGAACTCGGGACCAGTGCATACATTACACGTTACTGAAATGAAAAGAAGTATGCGAAACTGTATTCAAAGTCTGACTAAAAATCATAATTTGTACTTATTAGTATTTCTGAAGAAAATAAATATTTCAAACAATTAATATGTAACGATTTATTCACACCTTAAACAATTGTAACATATAAATTCCCAGCATTTGTAATATATGATCTCTCTATAAAAATCATTGTCAGATATAGTCTTATCAATTTAGTCTAAAATCTATATCACAATCTAGTGTACTCTATGTAACTTTGTTCACAAACTCCATAACAAATCCTTATTGTACTTCAAGTGTTGATTTCTACCAATATGTAAGGAAATGGCTGGGTGAGTTAAACATTGATCATATTGGATTTGCAGCTGCAAACCTACATTGTACTCGGCTAGAGCATAGTCCAATACAGCTTTTACACCTGTGTAACTTATATAATTTAGTATTCAGCTCAACAATGTATAATTCTTTTATAACAATACAAAACAAGAAATCTGAAAAGGTAGATAGGTATTGAATTGAAAAACTTTAAACCCAAATCTGATTAGAATCTGTCTCTACGCATTAGGATCTGACGGGCACCAATACGAGGTCACCTTTTTGTTCCCTTTCAAACAGTCAATCAACGGTAAGCATTAACAATTATGAAAGCGATGTGGTTTTATTTTATATAATACTGTAAAACCAATACTGAGTAGGTAATTGTCACGCTTTCGAGAACAAACATGGCGTTGTCCGCATTGGTAAACTGGCAAAAAAAAGTTTGAGTCTATTATCTCAAGTTTATTTGCTGCAAATAACTTAAAACATTTAAAAAAACAGTTTGTTTTATTTTCATGGACAGCGATATTTTGATAATACGTCCAATGTCAATATTTAAAAGGACAGTTTGATTGCACGGTATTAATACCTTCTCGGAAAGTCCGACTCGCAATGATATTGAAACAAATACGGAAGCATTGAGATCTACATGCAAGAAATATCTTAAGTAGATCTGAATTTGTGTCAAATTAGAATAGCCTACCTGTTAAAACCTAAAATGCTAGATAGTGTGAAGATATTGTAAATTTTTTAAATATATCATAAGGAAATCGATGAAAACAAAATTAAGCAATACACATGTAAATCTTGACATTTTGCAATTTTTGTGTCTGGAAAGTTTCATCCACAGACTATTTAGTACAAAGATTTGTTAGTACAATATTTGTGCCATAATTTTCGCGGATTTCCAAAAAGTCTAGTTAATGGAGAGCCCTCTAGTAAGCAAATGGTTAAAATTCGTAAAATCTGCGTCATATTGAGTAAAAATGAAACTTATTGAGAAACAATCTATTGTGCAACACCTCTTACCATCACCTACCCCCCTCCGGCACCGGCTAAGGCAGTAATTAACCCTTAACCCTATTTGATCAAGCTAATAAAAAACAAG